CTGGTTCGAAGAAACAATTCGGCTCTCGGGCCCGACTAGACGTAGCTTCAATACGGTTTTTATCGGGCTCGATTAAACGCAATATTAAATCGATGCGGCTCGAAATTAAATCGCACTATAAAAATAAATAACCCGGTTATTATTTATACATATAATATGTTAGTCCCATTTTTGTTACTACTTTTGTGGTATTTTGTTTATCTTTCTTTTCCCACTCTAGGTTGTTTTGTAGGTTTTTCCGGTCATTTAAGTCATTTTGTGCGTTTAGTGTTATTTCTGTATTTTTCGTGTTTTTCGTATTTCTTTCTTCCTATTCTCCTGTTTCTGTGTTTTCTCGGTTGGTGTTGGTTTCAGGTATTCGAAACGCTGCTCTAGGATCGTTCAGCTAGTCGTGCGGACCAACATGTGAAGGACAATGTTCGAGCTCGGGCGGAACCCGGGAGTGCACGAGACAGTTGGGGGCTTATAAGTCGACCGGGGGAGGTTAGGCGAGCCGAAACGGGACAAAAAGCGCAGTTTTGTTGAGTTAGTGCCGCTAGGGGTCGCTAATGCCGCTAAGGGACCTAGCGCCGCTGCCATATACTAGCGAGCTGAAGAGAAAAGCCGCTGTCCGAGCATTAGCGCCGCTAGCTAGCAGCTAGCGCCGCTAACCCCCCCTAGCGCCGCTAACCCCCCTCTAGCGCCGCTAGCTACTGCTTATCAGATTAGTTCGCGATTCTATTATAATTAGGAGTAGGGTTTGTTCTATTGGACGGGGCTTAGACTTATTTTATGCGCGTTTTGCTGAGGAGAAACACCTTCTATCATTGTTTTGCTCTTTGGATTCGATTTTAGAGATTAAAATCCTCTATTATCTTGCTTTGGATTCGGATACTATTGGATTGAGTTCAGAATTTTCATTAATCGTAAGTATTTTTCTTCAATTCTTTCATTGATGATGATGTCTTGGGTTATGAATGTTTGTGTGATCAAATCCAATATGAGTAGCTAAATCCATCTGCTAGGGATAGGGGATAATTGATTAGGTTCAATTATAATTGCTTGTTCTTAATTGTTCATATCTATGCGAGTTGAGTTCAATTTAGGGTTAATAGATTGATCACCTATATAACCTAGTTAATCATTGTTTAGAACCGAAAGGGGAGACA